GGGGGGGCTGCGTGCCGTGGGGGGCTGGGCTGGGGTTGCTGGCACGGGAGGAAAGGGGCCGACAGAGGAAGCCGCAGCCACCGATGTGGGATATACATACATGCATACACATATATATACACATACAGAGCTACATGAGGGCCTTCAAGCTAGAAGGGGGTTCTCCGGCAGGGGCTGTGTGACGGTGTTCGTCTTGGTGATGGCGGGTGGAGCGGTTGTGCGGCGACATGGGGCATGCGGTGAACTATATATATGGCAGGCTGCTAGGTGAGCTATATGCAAGTGAACTATATACATATATATGTGTAAATATATATATGTCTTATATGTCTTTGTGTGTATAAATATATGTCTTATATGTCTTTATGAATGTGTGTAAAAAAGGGCTACGATGATGATGTTGATGATGAGGCGGCGGCGGCGGCGGAGGCTGGCAAGTGTACAGCGCAGCAGGTGGACAAGGACGTTGGGATGCACATTTCTTGGTTAGTCGGTTACTAAGTCGGTTAATGGGTTGGTTGGCTTGGTGGTGATCTGGGTGGTGGTGGTGGTTGGCTTGGTGGCGAATGGAGGGATTTTGCCTGGATGGCTTTGTTCATTTGCATGAATGATGATGATGATGATGATGGTGATGATGATGGTGATGATGATGGTGATGATGATGGTGATGATGATGATGGTGATGATAATGATGATGATGATGATGGATGGATGGTGATGGTGATGAGGATTTGATGGCTATTGCGGCTGCATAGGCTGATGGTGCTCGGAGTGCGCGCTGACTGTGTTTTATGTCTTCGTCTGTGTTGTCTTTTCGAGGCGCAAATGGCTTTCTACGCACACTGTCCATTGCATCGATCAAAAAAAATTGTTGATCGAACTAATTATATGCGCAACATGGCTATAACCCACAAACATCCGTACATGCATGCATGTAAGATATTTTTAAATTTGATAATGCTCCCCGATGGCGAAATAGTGATTTCCCTACACTCGCTCCAATACCTAGACAACAGAGAGCAAGGTCGGTCGTGCGAGAGGCCAAGAGAGTTCCGCAGGTGTGTGCCCCGCACGGACTTTGTCTCCCGCGTACCCGCATGACCTCCCGCGTACCCGCATGACCTCCCGCGTACCCGCATGACCTCCCGCGTACCCGCATGACCTCCCGCGTACCCGCATGACCTCCCGCGTACCCGCATGACCTCCCGCGTACCCGCATGACCTCCCGCGTACCCGCATCAATACCAATACAACGTCCATGGGCCCCTCCCCCGGCTTTTACGGACACACCCGCACTTGTGTGCGGAACTTGTAACTTGTAACTTTGTCTGAACCGCGCAGGGGGGCCGTTCGGGTAACCCGGCCACGACGGCGGGGGGAGAAACGGCCCAGGGCACTGGAAGGTGTTGTTGTTGTTGTTGTTGGTGGTGGTGTGCTTGTTGGATGACGAAGAATTCCGTACCGGGCCCTCGCACGTATGGTGGCGCATTAATACGCCATATAGCGGGGTAGCGGCGCCCGCCCCGTTGCTGTCTGTCGACTATTGACGGGGAAGACTGATCGACAGTAGTCACCCCAAAAAGCTCACAGTCCTGTACTCGCTCGTGCTCCTTGTGCGCCGCCACCCGATCACCCACTCAACAGCAGATTGGAGGCCCGCCCCCCCAACGCTTTAAACCCACAACACCCGTATAGCTACAGGCGATTCCACCCCCCCCACCCACCACCACCAGCAGCTGTGTGGCCAATACCGAGAGCCCACGAGAGAGAGAGAGAGAGAGAGTCATCACTGCGCTAGCTATGATGCTTTATGACGGCCTCGATGATTGGCGGTTGGTATCGGCTTTCTTCGTCAGGGGCCGCTGCGCCTAAAAGCCCACCTAGGGGGAGGTTAGTTAAAAGCCTAAGAGCCAAGACATACATCTCGTATAGCTGCTACAACGCACCTCTCGACCTGTACAACAGATATATCGACGTGTTGCATCATCATCATCATCATCATCGCATTGGGAAAGAGCATATATGTACATATTCTGATGTATGTGTGTGTGTGTGTATCTGGATCCATCTACTCCTGGCTCCCGTGCACAGCCGGCTGCAGGACATACATGCAGGACATCCATGCCCATCTACCCCCTCCTCCTCCTCCTCCTCCTCACCACCACCACCACCACCACTTCATCACTTTCACCCACCATCATCGCGTAGCGATGGCATCCATCCATCCCACAATCTGCCTACACAACCTCTGAATATCCGCCTGCTGTTGCTCCTTCAACGCCTGCACCACCACCTCTGCCGGTGTGAATATGGACTGACCACCGCCACCACCACCACCACCACCACCGCCAGCTGATGTTGATGTCAGGGGTACTGGCAGCTCGCCCCCACACGGGGTGAGGTGGTTGCCTGGCAGGGTTAGCAGGGTGACACCTGGGGGGGGCGTGGGGGTGGGGTCCAGGAAGGGGGTGGAGAGGTGTGTAAAGGCGTAGATGGCGGAAGGGGCCGACAACGGGGGGTGGGGGTGGGAAAGGCGAGGGTGAGTGTGTCACTACACGACAAGGATGCGTACATGTGCGGAGGAGTCTGTTCACCCGGGGGGCGGCTGCTGACGGCAGGGGGTTCAGTAGGGCTCTCTCCCCCCCCCACACACACACACCAAAACCCGCTCTTACATAAACCCTCTTCTTCGCCCTTCATTCCGCCCTCCGCCAGCCTCCCTCACCCAGATGGCATCAACACACAGCGTCAGAAACAAGCTGGTGGTGAGAGCTGATCGCGCTATCACCCAGCGGTGGCGGCGTCACTCCAATCACCTAATGACCGAGTGACACAGCTCTGTCCGCATCCCCCCCCCCCACACACACACACAATAGGTGATGTCTCTCCCTCCCAACCTCCCAGCCTCCCAGCCAAATCGACCGGTGCGGTGATACAACACCGGAACGAGGCTGCCAGCCCACCCAGCCCCCCAAACCAACGGACCGCCCAAGCCCTCCGGGCGTCCCTCCCCCCCCTCCTAAAACCCGGCCCCCCCACCACCACCCACCACCAGCCAGTCGCGGTTGCAGCAGCGCAGCGATTTCGGCGCTCTCGTCAATGGAGTCGTCTGCGAACCGAACGAGCAGTGTGGCGGCGGTGCCGTACTGGCGGGAGATGAGTGTACGACTCTCCGCGGGGGAAGGCTGGAAGTCCGTGGCGCCGCCGTCAACCTGTATGTGTGCATGTGCATGTGCATGTGCGTGTAGGTGTATGTACGTGAATGCAGGTATTTAGGAACATGTATAGTAAACCCAAGGGGGGTGGAAGGGGAAGGGCAATTATTTCAATTTCAGATTCCCTTATGGCAGTGGACGGGTCGTACTAGCGGTTTGGCCGTCCTGAGACTTAGGGTTTTAACTTCCCCCCTCCCCTTCCTCCTCACCTCCCCAAACACAGCGGGTATCTGGTCCAACAGCAACCCCGCGCCGGAGAGCTGTCCCGCCCTGTCCAACCCCAGCTCGGGGGGGAGGAGGGAGACCAATCCGCGAAGCAGGTCGCCGCCCGAGGGGGGCTGGGGGGGGAGGAGGCCGGGCAGGGAACCCAGGACCGGTACGGCAGTGAGATCAGGAAGGGGGGGAGCGGCTGCCCGGGCCGCCCTCAGCGCTCCAGGGAGATTGTCCATGAGGCCAGGTACGGGAATGGCGTCCTTGACTTGCCTGTCAAGTGGTCGAGGTTGAGGGGATGGTGGTTTGTGCGTATGTGTGTGTGTGGGGGGGGGGGAGAAGAGAGGGAGAGGTGCGGGGGGAGGTGAGGGGTGTGGGTTTGGGGCAAGTACGGGCCAGTACGGGAGAATCACACTCTCACATTGGGCCCTATGAGCATGTGTGTGCGTATGATTATTATGACCATGTAAAGCCAGGTGCCGTAGTGCAGGTTATGTTGTGTTGTGTTGTGCTGTGTTGTATATATGTAAATATGTGTATGCGTACACATATGTTTGTGCACGCGCCTCTCTGCGTATCATGCTGAGCCGCAGAAGTGGACTTAGGATGAGGTGATGTCGAAAATCAGGGTGTTATGTTCTTTTTGTGAGAGAGAGAGAGAGAGAGGGCGCCCCATACACATCCCACAGCCCCCCTTTTCTCCACCTCACTTGTTGTTGTACGACATTATGATGTTGGAGTTCGCGGCCCCGGGGAAGTAGCTCCCGATCAGCATGTGCAGGAGTGAGCCGTTGGAATGACCCACTCCGAACAACGGGACGTCCAGTGGGGCCACGTCACTGCCAGCTAAGCCAATGCTGCTACTGCTGCTGCTACTGCTGTTGCTGCTGCGGAGTTCCGATAGCGAGTCTTCGAATTGGCGTCTCACGCGCCGCGCACACTCGTCGTGACGGAATGTGACAGCGTACGGCGTGGCGATGGCAGTGTAGCCGGCGGCGGCGATCGAGTCCAAGATGAGGCTGTAAACTACCTGTGCGTGCGTGCGTTTGTGTGTATGTGTATATGTTGCGGGAGGAGGGGGTGGAGGGGGAAGAGGGGAGTCTGCAAGGATTGCCGCTGCGAGAAAAACACTTCACGCTACATGCATTCCGCCTCGTGGCCAACTCATGGCCACACAAGCGACGGACAGACGTACAGACGAACCTGCGGCGCGGCGCCTGCAAAGGCTCCCCCTAAGAAATGCACTATGCCTTTGGAGCGGTAGCGCGGAGCCACCACCCAGGCGCCTGTGTCCTGTCGGAGCCAACGACATGAAGGAGGAGATGACAAGGTTTGAGGTTTGAGGTGGTGAATAAGGAGAGGATGAAGTGGAATGGATTGGTAGCTGACGTGTTCCATGCTGGACCGAGCCTGGCAAGTTAGGGTCGTCAACTCGTCATACCATGGGAAACGATGGCATCCGGCTGAGGAGTTGGATTGACAGAATCTATGGGAGCGACTTCAATATGTTTTTCTAGGTGTTCTGCTCACCAGTTTCATTATGTTCGACGCCGCAAAGACACGGACAGCGCGTCTCCGGCCCGAAACGACCCCTTGAAAGCGCCCTGCCGGGCAAAGGCTCCCTTTCATAGCTTTTCTGTCAATGATACATTTTTCCATCATGATGATATTCTCCGCGGCAGAGCAGGGTGAAAGCTGGAAGCTATGCGTCTCGCTTCACTAATCAACTTGTGGTTTGGCGTTAGGTAGTTGACAGTCGCTGTTCCCAATCGGAGATTGGCAATATGTTTCCTTGGTGAGGGTTATTTCGTGGCACGGAAAACGTACCGAAACATGGAGACCGGAATTACCAACCGTATCCAAATGCCAAACCCAGTATGAAAGCCTGCATCTGACCGCGCATATCTATTATATATTTTACACATTTAATTAATCTAATACGTGCTTTGAACGTGCGATTTGGCGTGTAAACGCCCGGGTGCGTCACAAGTCGCATAGAGCGCAACGTCAGGGCTTAAGGGCATGGCCCGTAGCATGTTTGCCGCGCCAGCTTTCGCCTCCAAAGGATCAACTCTCTGCCGCCCCAACGCGCTCGCACGGAGTGATTGCATTGCCTTCATCGCGCCGCTGCCCAGGGCTGCAGTCGCTGGCGCCCGTGATCACGCTTGCCGACTAATCGTGACCTCGACTGTCAAAGCACCTCTGGTTGCGCCACGGAGGCGGCAGTCATCGCCGGTGCTGGTTCCCCAGGCCGGCATGGCGTCAGCGTTAGCTGCTACACTAGGCCCAGACCTGGCCCAGGCAATGGCGATAGCAAAGCTTGTGGCCGCCGCGGTCGCTTTCGGCACAGGAGTACTGGGCGCCGTGGCCTGGCTGGACGCCAAGCGGAAAACTCAGAAACCCGGCCTGCAGTACACGCCCACGGAGGTACGGTACGGCATGACCAAACCCACACGGGCTCTCGGACCTGGGCGGCTAGCTGAGTCCCTTCTGCCGCATTGAGGCGGCAAAAGGCCCCACCTTCACTTGTGGCAGCAGCAGCACGAGCAGTAGTAGCAGCAGTAGTAGCAGCAGTAGTAGCAGCAGTAGTAGCAGCAGTAGCAGCAGCAGTAGTAGCAGCAGTAGTAGCAGTTGCTGCCGTTTGGACGATCAGATCGGAGCACACACAGTCGGAGAAAATAATTGCTGGGGGAGGGGGGAGGAGGAGGGGGAAGGAGGAGGGGGGAGGAGGAGGGGGGAGGAGGAGGGGGAGGGGGGCCCTAGGCGGCGACGCTCGGGATGCAGCCGGGACCCTCCAGGGTCGCCTTTGGGGGTCCTTTGCGGCGCCTGGTGGGGTGATGGTGTCGGTGGTGGGGTGGCGGTGGTGGTGGTGTCGGTGTTGGTGTCGGTGGGGTGTGGTGGGGTGGGGGTGTCGAGGGGGTGCAATGACGCCCCAATGAGCTGCAGGGAGGGGGTTTAAGATGAACCACGGGCGATTGATGCAGATACACCACAGATGGGCCTCCTGGAGGCGACATTGTCTGTCCAGGAGGAGACAAGGATACGGTATCAGGCCTTCGACCGATGTCGTTAAGACGTTAGTTAGGAATATTAGCTGACCTGACTGGGAGGGGCAGGGCATTGGGAGGGGGAGGGGGAAGGGGGCTCCTCGCTGTGCTCGTAACGCCCACACCTGCAAAATCATTCATCCTCCGTTCCGTACTAGTACGGCATGTGTTTGTGTGCTGACGCCACCACACCATCAACTTCAACATCAACATCACCACCCAGACTCATCTTTCCCGCCCTTGCTCTCCCGCACCCCCCCCCTCCGCGGCCCCGCCCCAGTTCAATCAGCGTGTATTGAGCGCCTGCCCCAGCCTTAAGCTGCCGTACGCGCCGTTGCCGTTTATGACTAATCCGGTGAGGGGCCGGGCTGAGCAGTAGAAGTTGAGTCAAGACCCCGAGGACTCCCACCCCCCGTGTGTGTGTGTGTGTGTGTGTGTTGCGGCTCTCTATCGGGGGGAGGGGGAAATGGGGTGGGGGGGTGGGGGGTTTTGGGGGTGAGGAGTCCACGTCCTCGCTCACTCACACCTCCGGAGGTTGATGTGGGGCTGGATTAGGTTTTCTGTGTTTGGGGGGGCCGGGGTGGGGGAAGGGGTGGGGGGAGGGGGTTGGGGCCTCACTGCCCTGGGGGGCCCCCCCGCACACACACACACACACACACATACACACACACACACACACACACACACACACAGAGGCGCACACGTGACGGCTCCACCGCCGTCTGCGTTCCCTCTCTCCACCCCCTCAACCCCCCTCCCTGCAGCACATTGAGACAATCCTGGCCGCCAAGACCCGCACCAAGCCCCCTCTGCGGTTGCGGAGGGAGATCCTCCGGACGGCGGATGGGGGCTGTGTGGCCCTGGACTGGGAGTATGTGCAGGAGGGGGCGCAGGTGTGTGTCTGGGGGCCGGGGGGGGGGGTAAAAGAGGGTTTTGGGCGGTCCAGGGGGGAAGGGGGGGTGGCGACAGCTATATGATGTCTGTGAGTGCGTGTGCGTGTGCGTGTGTTTCCAGAATTCGTGTTGTCCCCCCTCCCCCCCCCCCACGAAACATGTTTGCATACATCTATACATCTTTAGAGAGATGTATTTCTCCGATACCATACTCAAACATCAAAAGGATAAAACACATGCACACAAACGCACACATTCCCTCTCTCCCTCTCTCCTTCCCAGGCTTCTCGGGTTCAATCACCTCCCCCCTTACTCCGCCCCGTCGTCCCTCCTCTCCCTACCCCCTACCCATCCTCCCCCCCATTCCCCTCTTTCCCCTCCCCCCCCCAAAAGCTTCTCCCCGAGGACGCCCCCGTCCTGGTGCTACTGCCGGGTTTGACGGGGGGGAGCGGGGACAGCTACATCCTGCATGCCATGAGCAGTGCCCGTCAGGCGGGTATTAGAGCGGTGGTATTCAACAGCCGGGGTACGGCAGACAGTCCCGTACTCACACCACAGTTCTACAGCGCCAGCTTCACCGGGGATACGCGGTGGGGCTGGGGGGTGGGTGGGCGGGGAGTTGGAGGGGGGGCCGCCACACAAACACATAACCAGCAATAATGGTGGTGGGGCATGTAGAGGTTTTGGCAAACCCCGCAGACCTCCCTAGTGAGGGAGAGGAGAGAGAGGGGAGAGAGTGTGTGTGTGTGTGTTTTGTTGAGCAGAACATGCGTACATTTGGTTGGTTGTGCCACCTGCAGACATCCGGTCGGTTGTTGTTGAACACCTGCTCATCTCACTCACCACTTACTGCTCACATCCTGCACTTTCTGTCTGTGCACGTCTCTGTCTGTCTGTTTGTCTGTATGTATGCCTGCCTATCGGCCACCTCATCCCTCCCCTCTCCCCCTTTAGACCCCTGTCCCCCCTCCGTCTTCCGCCCCCTCGTCCCCGCCTCCAGCGCCGTGATTGCCCACGTCTCCCGCCGCTACCCCGCCTCCCGGGCCCTACTGGCCGCCGGCTGGTCCCTGGGCGCCAACATCCTGCTGCGGTACCTGGGGGAGGAGGGGGCGGCCACACCGCTGCGGGCGGCGGTGTCCATGTGCAACCCCTTCAACCTCACGATCAGCAACCAAGTGAGGGTCAGGGGGGATGAGGGTGAAGGGGGAGGGGGAGGGGGGATGAGAGAGGGGTGGGGTGCCAGGGGGGTGCCAGACCGAAGTTGGCCCCGTACACCCTTCCCCGTACACACCCCGTACACTCGCTTCTTCCGTCTCTCCCCCCCTTCATGGGAGCACTAAATTGGTTTTCCCCCCTCCCCTCCTCTTCCCGCTCCCGATCACAGGGCCTCACTCGCGGCTTCAGCCGGATATACGACCTCAATCTGGCCAAGTCCCTGCAGCGCATATTCGCCAAGCACGCGCTGTTGTGGACGGGTGTGCCGCCGCCCTTCCGCCCGGACGATGTGTCCGCCGGCGCCACCATCCGCCACTTCGACGACTGTATCACCATCCACAGCTTCGGCTGGCGCAGCGTGGACGAGTACTACGCGGGGTCGAGCTCGTCCTTGTCGGTGCCGTACATCACCATACCGACATTGTGCATTCAGGTACTCATAAAAAAAGGTGTTTTGGGGTGTGCGTGAGGGTTGTGTGGAGGGCGCTGGAGGGGGGTGGTGAACTTGGGGAAAAGTTGTGAGGGCGGGGTTGGGGTTGGGGAACTTGGGAAAAAGTCGAACAAGCAACTGCCGATGTGCTGGGAAGGCTGAGGAGGGGTGGAAAGGCGCTTGCTTGGTCTGGTAATGTTAATTCGGGTGGGCTGAGGGATTGGCGCGGGTTGGGTTGTGGCCAGTGTCTGCGGCGTGAGGGAGGGGATTGGCGCCTAGGGTTCAGGTGGGAGAGCATGGAAGTGGGGTTGGTTTGGTTCGGATATCTCCGTCTTCTTCGTTTGATCGTTTTATGACGCTTGGTTGCGTTTCTCCGCTCTATGTATGGCCTTTGGTCCAGGCATTGGATGACCCCATTGCTCCCAAGGAGGCGACACCGTTTGAGGCGCTCCGCCAGAATCCCAATTGTACGCTGGTGACGACGTTGACAGGCGGCCATTTGGGCTGGGTTGCCGGGCCGGGCGCACCTTTTGGAGCGCCATGGACCGACAAGGTGAGCGTTTTTTGCGGGTTCGTTGCCCCTCGCTGGGGTCCTATAAATCTTTCATATTAATAAAATAAGTTGAAATATTAAATTTGATGGTTGAATCTTTTGGTTAGCCGTTTGACCTCTAGACGCGTTGGTTGCATCGTTGCAACGACCGTTGGACGATTAGCACGTGCGCAACGGCTGCCTCCAGTGACGCATGTGGCTTTCGTTTTGTTGCAGGTGATGTTTGAATGGTTGAATAGCGTCGTTTCGGAGCTAACGCAAGTGGAACAGGAGGCACCCAAGATCACAGCTCAGGCAATTGTGCGGGCGTAAGAACTATCATTCGCAACCTTTGTATGTGATTTCTATTGGACGTAAATTATATTTGGAATGCAGGATCAGGGAAAGGAATAGAAAGGAAGCGTTCCTGAAACACTTCACGCAGCATTGGCGTTGAGCGCGTTGTCCGGTGTTATAAGCTCGCTGGGTGATTAGCAAGCTTTTTGCTGTATGCGGCGCATTATGGATGTTGCTGTAAGGGGAGCAAAGGGTTACGGTATGCCGTATCGATGCCGTAACCGTTAGGTCTGCGCCGATCGGTTTGTGAACAACTGGGCCTGAAGCCCTCTAAGCCTTGCTTTTATGAGCGAATATAAGTATCCATTATTTTGAAATGAATATTCTGTATGGACACCAATTGCCACAAAACCCTCCGAAATGTCGACAAGAACCCGCCGCAATAACGGTGGAGATGATGCACACCGTTGCACCCGAGGCAAAAGAAACAAGAATTTGAAGATGCACGTGGTTCAGTAATGCCGCGAATCGGGATAGCACGCTCACATCCGAGTCGAAACACGACAACTATCTGCTAATGGAAATGCCCCACTTGCGGCGTTAAATCTGCATTCATGAAAGAGATGGATCGGGAAGACGATGGAACGGGGAGCCAGCGGAGTGGCGCGACGGGGAGCGAAACGTCTAGCCAGCGGGAAGACTCAAAGTTCTTAATGAAAAAGAGGTATGCCTCCTTTTTGACAGTTAATTTAAGTGAATGTTAAGCAAAAAACAAGTGCGAATTAGCCGTGTGTGTGCTAACTGGCGCAGAGGAACAGCGGATGAAGAGGATGAAGAGGACTTACTGGAGCAGAAACGCACAATTGAAGACGGTATATTTTCATGTAAGCGTGCGTGCTTGGATTCACTGATTGGATTCAATGCGTTCGCGTCGGTTGCCTCGCATAGTCAGGTAGACGGCGTACTGTCAGCTGCTTTCCAAATGTCACTAAACCATTACATTTTTATGTTATCGGGCACATAGACACATTGTTTAAACGGATTCGCTCTTGCTTTAAACTGAAACTACACATTGATTACACACACTCGGTAGCGGCGAGTCCTTGTGTGCGATCTGCGTTGGCTCACATGCGCAACAAATTCAGTTTGAAGTTAAATAAACTACTATATCCATGCTACTCCGCTTATTCGCTGTGCCTGTCTAGGCGTGTCGAGGTTCCGGGCTTGCTACTGCTTACTAATGAATAATCCTACTAGCTGCTCAATTGCGCATTTTCTGTTCACTTTCGGACTGCGCCCGCGGCCACCGTGAGGGACCCCCGGGGGTTCGGCAAGTCTTGGCAGCGGCTGGGGTGCAACTCACTGCCAGCTCGATGGGAGCTAGGAGGAGCTAGCTAGGACGACAAAACGTAGAAAGACGGAAAGGCCGGAGCCTGATCAGGCGCTGACAGTGACGCTGGCGCGCAAGGAATAAACTTAGATGTGGGTCTTGGCGCGGCATGGTATAGATGCCCACCACTTCCTCGATTCGCTCATCGGTCACACACGTCTGTCACGAAACTCAAGACCTCACAGAACCCAACATACGGAGAAACCCACACACCTCTTCTGCTCCAAATCATCTTCGCCTCCCCAACCTTTGCTTTCCACGATAGGACGTTGGCACTTGTTATCCCTGACTTTGCGTCCTGCCCAAATCCCAATTCCCAAATCCCAATTCCCAATTCCCATCAACTCTTGGCTCTCCACTTTTCCACTCCGAGTCACGACACACACGCCCAGGGTCCTGTTCCCAGTTGCCCGCCGCCTCTCCTCTTCCATTTCGTTCTCTTCTCCTCCTCCTCCCCCAGGCATGTACACGCTGGTGCGTTCCTCGGCTCTGAGCGGCTGGAAGTTCGCCGTCTTAAAAGTGGCGCTGGAGTTCCTGGTGGGTCACGGGTGGAACAGGTCTAAGGAAGAATGCGTATGCATGTGTGTATGCATGTATGTATGTATGTGTGTTTTGTAGGAGCTACGACATGTAAGCAATGAGAGGCGCGCCTTGATGGGGAAGAATGTGTGTGCGTGTAAAATATATTTGTTGGGGGTTGTGCGCGTACCGAGTATGGGGATGAGGTTGGCTGGTTGTGTGTGTGTGTGTGTGTGTGTGTGTGTGTGTGTGTGTGTGTGTGTATGGGGGGGCCGGGGGGGGGGTAGCCAGTGGATGTGGGCGTACAACCCGCATGCGGGCGGGTCTGGGATTTGGTACAGTGACATGGAGGAATGGATGCAGCACATGAGCAATGATCGGAAATAGAGCCCTTAAATGGGATCTAATCCACGAATCCGCGAATCGCCCCACGAGGCCCCACAAGTTATATTTGGCTCGCTGAGTGAAGTGACGACCCCGTTGCCAAGATAGGACGTTGCTACAGCCCTTTGGGTTTCATGACCTGTCATTAACATCAGGGGGGGAAGGGGGAGGAGGAGGAGGCGGCATTAGACAGTGGGACAGCGCACGCACATGCACACAATTATAGATGTATGTATGTATGTATGTTGTTACAGGGTGGTTTAGCTTCACCAGCGGCCCCCACTCTCCCGAGGCAGTTCCCTGCTCTCCCCTGCGAGAGGGGCACCCTAATCCGTTCACCCCATCCGATTTCAGAATGTATTCGTTGGGTTCAGCAACTCACCACCTGCATCCAACCAAATCTAGCGAATCAAAGGCGCCTCAACTTAGTTCCTGGTCAGCTCGCAAGTTGATATTATCACGTCCTACACCGTCCATAAGATGGGGGGCCACCTCCCAATTCAACACTCCTCAAACACCCGAGGAGTCGGCAGGCGGATTTGAATCCGGACACTCCGGGAGCAGATGTCAGGCCTTAACCTCTGCCAGCCGCCTGCCGTATATTCATGTATGTATGTATGTATGCATGTATGTAACACCCAGCAATGAAACACCCCGTGACCTCGCACCTACCTTGCACCTGCAACTTGCACATACATACACGCGTACTCCCCTCCCCCTTCCCCCCACTTACACCCGGGGCTTTCAGACCTTCTTCCTTGTGGCGTTCAACACGGAATACACACATTGGGTCATCGACACCTCCAGCCCCGTGTGGCAGGTCGTACGATGGGGCCTTTGGCGCTCACCCATTATACGTCTATACGGCTATAAGACATACATTGTCGTCCTGTACGTCATGGTGGTCATAGTGTACGTGGCGGTTGCGGGCCTTGTGTTTCTGACCCACTCGATGAGAAGAGCAGAGCAGTCCAAGTGGCTGCGTACGGCAGCGCTGTACCTGCACGCCGCATACGACATTATTTTCTTCACCTACTATGCATCTTTCTTCGACTATTTCGTCTTTGCGGCCAACTGCGATTACTTGGGGAGGACCAAGAACCACATGTACTTCAAGAGCGTCAGTAAGTGGTTGAGGTGGTTGCGGTTGGAAATTTGGAAAAAAATTTGCTTAAAGGTTCTTTTTACCGCATATGTGCTGTAAAAACTGGTTTTGGATTAGCCTTTGTATGATTATGGATCCAAATATATCACCACATGGGTTGCTGCTTTCTTAATAATTTTTTACATTCGGTGCGATTCGTTTTTTCATGTGATCTGTGTCTTTTTCGGGCAGGGGCATCGGCCCTTGGGGCCCCCCTCAGGGCGCAATGGCCCCTAGGTTTGGAAGGTAACGCAGCTTCAGAAGGTGGTGTAACACACATACACACACACATATAAACGTACATTCACATTTTTCATTTTCAGGTTGGGACGTCGGCCAGAGAGCTTCTTCTTAAACTACATAAACACAGTCCCCCTTTAACTCCCCCTATCTCCCCCTCCCCCCTTTATCAGTGTGTTTCGAGATGCCCCACCTACTTCACTTCTGTGTGGCCATCTTCACCGCCGTCGTCTTCCTTGCCGTAACCGCCGGGCTGACGGTGGCATCAGCCGACCTCAACCCGGTCTCCCGTTCCGCCCTGGCCTCACCCGCCGTGCAGCCCCGCCTCAAGATGCTAGCCGCCAAGGCCGCTTTCATTATGTGCGGGGGGGTGCTGGACTCGGCCCCCATGGTCCAGGCGGTTCTGGATGTGTGCTGGGTGGGCCTTATCAGCTGGTGGAGCCTCAGAACGGTGTGAATCGGGTTTGTATCGCGGGGGCTTTGGCCTCATGATTAGGGGGTGGGCGACGGCGTTGACGGAGTATT